CCCTTCTAGAACTTTTTTTTTTTTTTTTTGGTGAAAATATACATAGCCAAACATACACCATTTCAAAAATTTCTACATGCACAGTTCAGTGACATTGACTATGCTCTTTCAATTGTGCTGCTATTCTCACTTTAGATGAAGGTTTACAGAACAAAATCATTTCTCATTAAACAGTTACTACACATGTTGCCCTATGACAATGGTTAACAACCCCACTACATGTCAACCCTGTCCTTACTCAACCTTGGGTTCCCGATCACCAGCTTTCCTGTCCCCTTCTGCCTTCTAGCCCTTGTCCCTGGACTGCCGTGCCTCATTAGCCCTGTTTTGTTTTATGGGGCTGTCCAATCCCCAGCTGAACGGTGAACCTCGGAAGTGACTTAACCACTGAGCTAAAAGGGTGTCTGGGGGCCGTACTCTCTGTGTTTCTCCAGTCTCCTTTAGGCCAGTCAATCTGGTGGAAATGTTCTATATTTTAACTGAGGAGGTGGTTATACAGGTTTGTACATTTGCTAAAACTCATCAAACTGAATAGTTAAAAATATGTACATTTTATTATATATAAATTATACTTCAATTAAGAAAATAATTATTTTTCAACTGTAATGAAATAATAGGCCCAGGTAATAATAATCAATGGAGGCTCTTGAGAAAAGATGGAAGAGAAACTTCATATTGTGTAGATCAAAATGAGAACAAACAAAGCTTTGTGATCAATCCTGACAACATTAAAAGTAGGAAAACATGTGCCTTCAGATATTTCCAAAAGGGCTGGGCCAGATCATCCTTTCCAAACTTCCGGGCCTATTTTATAATACCTTGATATAATGATAGTGCTGATTATGAATTTTGAAGTAAGATTTGCTAATGAGTTTTGGAAAAATCCCACCAAAGAAATAATTTTTTCGTTAACATATTTGAAGACAGTTGTTGTGTGCTGTTAAGTCAGTTCTGACACATAGTGACCCTATGTGAAAGGGTTTCCTAGGCTGTAATCTCTATGGGAGCAGATCGGCAGGGTTTTTCTACCGTGGAGTGGCTGGTGCGTTCAAACTGCCGACCTTTTGGTTAGCACCTGAGTGCTTCACCATCGTGCCACCTGGGCTCCTTCATTTGGAGACTGCCAGAAAAAAACAAATCTGTTGCCATCAAGTCAATTCCAACTCATAGTGACCCTATAGGACAGAGTAGAACTGCTGCCCCATAGAGTTTCCAAAGAGTAGCTGGTGGATTCAAACTGCTGACCTTTTGGTTGGCAGCCGAACTCTTAACCACTGTGATGACGACCTCAAAGTAAGAAATGTTCTCTGCATAATCTCTTTGAGGAAAACATATTGAAACTGAAGTGAACATTTCTCTGTCTGGTAGGGGAGTAGAAGTTACCATTTCTCCAGTACACTCAACAAAAAAGGTATGCAGCCAAGAAAAGTATGAAGGCGTCATGTAAGTACTGCAGCCTTAACAAATAGACAAGAAAAATTCCATCAACCTCATTGGTTGTTCAGTTAAACACAATAAAGATTCATTGGCCAGGAAACGCAATGGATATGGGTAAGACCTGGCATATGTTTGTTTTAGTTCATAATGTACTGGGGTAAATTAGACAGTGAGAGAAATGATTAATTATGAGAGAATTCTCAAAACAAAAGCACTCATAAAGTGTCTTGGGTATGCAGAAGAGGGAGAATTTGTATAGAAATGGCATGGGTTGCTGGGGAGGTGACAGTGGAGGTTAGTGGCAAAGGAGGAAAGGAATAGGGAAATATTAGGAAAAGGAGCCAAGAAAAACAGACCCGTTACCATTGAGTCGATTCCTACTCATAGCAACTCTATAGGACAGAGTAGAACTGCCCCATAGGGTTTCCAAGGAGTGGCTGATGGATTCGAACTGCCAGCCTTTTGGTTAGCAGCCTGAGCTCTTGACCGCTGTGCCACCAGGAGGATGATTAAGAAAGGAAAGGGAAGGAAGAGTTCAGTGTATGTTGAATGTATGTCTTGACAGGAGTAGAAGTGGCCGTGTGTGGGATGTGAATGCTGCTTCCAACTGCTGATGTTCATGGACATACTTTGTAAATGCCAAGAACGTTACAATGGCAGAGTGTAAAGTGGATGCAGCTCACGGGTGAAAACAACTTGTGCCCATAGAGAAAAATCTGGAGTGCCCAACACCTATCCTGTTGTTTCTGTTTTAAGTACAGTAGTGATACCTGGGAGTTTTAGATAAAAATATTTGTGAATCTTTAAGATGAAGGATTTTTAGGCCACCTCAGATATCTAAGCCAATCAAAACCATTGTGCCGCTAGGGTTCTACAACAGTCCTGTTGAAAATTTTACTGTACTGTATCTCTCTTTCTTGATCTCAAGGAACTATATTCTTTTTGGAGTATGAAAATTCTAGTCCCTAATAGGAGAAAACCGACCAGGGTAGGAGGCAAACTGAAGGCACCAGGACTATCTCCTGAGTATAGGTGGCAAGAGGGAAGACACTGAATTAAGGAGAGATCAGGGGTAGTGTCGGGACAGAGAAGGAAAGCAAAGGTAGGCAGAGTGTGAAGGGTGAGAAGCATCAATGGCCTCCTAAAGTGAGACCTTAGGAGGGCTAATAGCCTAGATTTTGCCGTTACAATAATTTCTGGCACAGCAACTATGCACGTAAATCCGACCTTTGCGTTTAACTCGTGCGGCTTTGCAGAATTTCTGACACTCCATGTATGCTACCAGGAGCTCTTCACCTGTGGTGGGGAAGAACCATAGAAAAGTAAGCCAGTGATCTACGTTCTTCACAGACAAAGCAAACCTGGCAGCAGTTCTGGCAGTAAAAATGTAATCAGGTAACAGGATAGGTGTAGAAATGGCTGCCCAGATAATACTTCTCCTGGAGCACCAGGAAGGTAGATGCAGAAATCACTGGCCAGCTGCGTGAATTCCCTGATAACCCTCAACTCTGTCCAGATGCTTCATTGTCTTTCCTGCTGGAAAATCAGCAACTAGTGCTCTCGTGTCGTCAGAATCAAAATAAGTCTGGTCAGTTTTATTAAGACTGGAGCCCCCCACCTTCTTCCTCCTGTCCCATTTTCCCAAGTCTTCTGCATGCACACACAGGGACCAGTGCCGCCTATGCAGAGAAGCATTCTGCACTCTGGGTCCTCTCCAGAGATGACCTCAGTCTGAGATGTAAAATTGCTGATCTACCCTCCGAAAACATTTCTAAACATCTCACAGCACCTTCCCCGACCTTGTAACTTACCCCTGTAGATCTTTAAACTCATGCACATCTCATCGTCCTGGGCAATACAGACACCAAAACCTCTTCTACAGCGGTCTGCTTTTACACGAAGGTGGCATGTTAAACACTTCAGTGATGTGCCTACTGGAGAGCACAGAACTGGTGTGAGGCCGCTAGGGAAGGAGCTGGAAAACCCCTGACCCTGGTGGTGGCTTGTGGCTGGGTGAAGAGCTGGTGGTGGGGATTTGGGCAGTACACAGTCTGAGCCCTCACTAACGCCTCATCCCAGGGGAATGGAAAGCAAATGCTGTTGTGAGAATAGAAGTTTTCTAGTCCTAACTTCAGGCTTTTCAACCAGGGTAACTTAGAGTTAGCCTCCATGTCCTTTGATTCCTCTAGCTCCAAAATGGCGGCATTAACGCTGGCCTGGCCAACCTGACAGAGCTGTGAAAGACATGGGTGTGATCATTAGGATGAGGGCTTTAAAATATTTCACCCAAGCTAGTGTTACAATGAGTCCTTGGATGGTACAAATGGTTAATGCACTTGGCTGCTAAAGGTTGGAGGTTCGAGTCCACCCAGAGGTACCTTGGAAGAAGGACCTGCTGATCTACTTCCAAGAAAATCATCCATAGAAAACCCTATGGAGCACAGTTCTACTCTGACACACAAGGGGGCACTGTGAGTCGGAATTGACTTGACAGCAAACTGGTTTAGTTTTTTGGCTGCTTAGGCTCAATTTGAAGTTCAAAACAATACAACATATCACCTAACAACATCTAGGCAGCAAATTACTATACAAAAGTGTGCCAAATATCAGAAATCACGTAAAAGTAACATTACCAGTGCCATCAGTTGCCATCTTATTGATTCTGACTCATGATGCCCCCATGCATGTCAGAGTAGAACTGTGCTCCTTAGGGTTTTCAATGGCTGATTTTTCAGAAATAGATGCCAAGGCTTTTCTTCCGGATTGTCTCTGGGTGGACTTGAAACTTCAACCTTTTGGTTAGTAGCCAAGAATGTTAACCAACTGTTAGGACACCCAGGGACTCTGAACCTAAGTAAAGGTCTCAGGAATTACAGCACACTTAGTGACTCCTTTTCAAGGTATTGTGGAGTGAAATAATCAAAATATAGCCTTTAAGTAAAAAAATCTCTCCCACTGGTGTATCTAAGTGAGAAAAGAAAGTAGCGTTTATTGAGCATGTCATTTGGCCCATCTTTTCTCACATTGTATCTGATTTAAGCCTCCCCAAAACCTTGCAAGTAAGTATCATCATGGTCTCCATTTCTCAAATGAGCAACCAAGGGTACCGAGAAGTTATCAGTGAAATTTAATAAATTTAATCTGTCCGATTCCAGAACATCCAGAATTTTCTCTCCTAGAATCACTTGTGCCAATATATAGTTCTTGAAAAGAGTATCAAAAGTCACAATCTGGCACTAAAACAAACTACAGAATACTTCATTATAAACTAATCAGTTCCCTAGGAAATGGGATGTAGATTTATGAATGGAAAAGAGGTTTAACGAGATTCTTGCTAGGGTTTTTCATCATGGGGAATGGTAGGGACAGAAGAGAGGACACAGGGTGAGGGGGTAGCCATGGAGCCTTGAGCACTTGGTGGGGGTTTGCAGGCTGTTGAAAAGGACAGAAACGTCAGCAGCGAAGGCAGAGAGAGCACTCTGAAGGTTGACTTCCTTTCCCTCATAAACGTGATCCCTGCTCAGCCCTGCATGGGCACCAACTGGACTTGTGGAATTTTCCTGGGGCTTCCTAGATCTGTCTCTAGAGCCCCCTCCTCAGATCTGTGACTCTTACCCACAGTGACGCAGATGAGGTAGAAGGCCAACAAGACTGGTTTGTCCATTCTGTGCAGGACGAAAAGAAGCCAAGGGCTATGAGCACAAGTCTTTAGGCTACAGGAAGCCAAACTAGCTCCTTCACCATAGGCCGGTGATTATTCATGCCTAAGCGGAACCAATCACCAGGTTCCCTCTTGGAGCTCAAGTTTCTTTTCTATCCTCTCCACAGCAGAGAATAATAATAATTAACAGACATTGGAGTTTGCATTGAGCCAGCTTTGTTTTGCTACATATAATCTTCATCTTAATAATCGTTATTCTTATAGTTATGATGTGATTGTTCTTATCCCAATTTCACAAAGGAGGAAACAGGCGCAGTGAGTGAGGTCCAGTATCTTATTCCCAATGCCATGTATCTAGTGACTGATTGAGCCATTACTCAAAATAAGACTTTCTAATTCTAGAGGCAACACTTTTAGCCACCATAATTCAATGACTCTTTGAGATTTATTCATACATTCAACAAATATCTATTGAGTGCTTTTGTAAAGCAAACACAGTTCCATGTATGTGAGAGCAGGGCAATGAAGAAGTCAGACAAGCTCACCTAGCTCTTACTTTATGGGTGAGAAACGGGCATGAAAGAGATGGAAAGATATGAAGTCTGTAACCAAGATAGAACTTCTGATTCTAGTGTAGAACTCCCTTTTACCTAACCAGAAATCTGTCCTCCAAGGGTAGGGACTATTTGAAGGGCTGTGAACCCCTACCTCCTAGAATTATCCCACAGTTTGATCTGTAGTAAATTTATATTGTGAGTCAGAATAGTTTTGTTCACAACTTAGGTGTCTTATCTCTATGAAAGTTAGTTCAGGCTCACCATGGGTGAAGCACTGGAAAACTGGGACCTGTCCTGGCTTTCTAAACCTCCTAAACTTATTCAGTCAGCTGAGGTACTTTGACCGGAGATACTAGAAATCTTCCACATTGAAGTGGTGTAACGGAATGTTCTTTAGTTGTAGGAGCAATATATTCATTAAAACTTATCGAGTCTGACATTTGCAGACATGAGACAAGGATTGGATGGAATGAAGTCTTGGCTCAAATGCCATAAAATATAATAATGCTTGTTTTTCTATGACCAGGGTGTGGACCCCATCTTTGTCTAAGAAGAGAGCCAGAAGTCTCAGACATGAGGGAATTGGTTCCTTTGAAAATAATCAATACTAGAATGGAAAGCAAAGTTGTGAAGTCTTTGAATTTAATTTCCTATTTTGCCACATTTCAAGAGAGGATGTTAGAAAGTGGACAACAGTTTTCAGAACATTCTCAGGCTCATTGAAAAGGTAAATTTCCAAATCTGAAGCTTGGGTTTGCAAGACTATTAGAGCATTTCATTTGTCACTTTTTTTTTTTTTTTTTTTTTGCTTTGTCTTCTATTTAAAGATAGTGACTTTAGAATAATAGCCAAGGAAGCAGACATTCTAGATTAAACTGCAGTGTGTTTGCACAGTTTCTATTCTTCCTTCAAAAGTTTCCCTTGGCTTTCTGAAAGGGCTCCTTCAGTTTTGAGTCTACTGTCTACTGGATTATTTCCAGTTAGGATTGCGGAAATTTGCGACTCAATCCAAGTACTGAGGTTGTTTGATCAACTCCTTACCCTCTCAGAGTTCCTCATCCATTAGATTTCCTCCTGAAGTCAATGTATTTCTTCTTTCAGCATGGAGTAGGAGGGATGGGTACTAGGACCTGTTAATAGAGGCAGTATGTATAATGGAAAGAGCATTTTCCTGGGAGTCTGGAGACCTGTGATGATCAGTCACTAACTAATGGCACCTTTAGTAAGCCATTCATCTGTGGTGTAAGATTTGATGATTTTTATGGTCTTTTTCAACTTTAATATTCTGTGGTTCCATGACATAAATCATGAGGATGGATGACATAGATCATAAGTTCTATTCTTTTCCAGAATTGGGCACTCTGCTTGGCACATGATGTGCTGAAATATGATGGCTGAATGAATGAGTGAATGAATGAAGACATAAATCCCACATGATCCCACTGAGTCATTGGGGCAAGTACCCAGAGTAATGCACCCCCATGCCAAGCAGGTCCTCCATTTCGCAGAGATACCAGCTGTCCGGCCCTGAGGAGAAAGCAGAATATTGTGTCCTCATGCTCTGGTCTCTCTTGGCTTCAGGGTAAGTGATTGAGATCTTGGGGATACCATAGATGAGCAGTGCTCTTCACTTATGCTTCTAAATACTCCCCTTTGTTGTGGGAAATAGAGTCAGGAGTCAGGCTGCTTTGTTCTTGGATTCCCAGGGGACAGCAAGTGGTTTTCCAGAGTGTGTTATGGGGACTTGAGGGAGAGATAATAATCTTTTTTTAAAAAAAAAAAACTGGGTGGACGAATAACTGTATGCAGGACTCAGAGATATCATCTGGAGTTTATATTCAACTCTTTCCCACCCCTAAATTGCTGGAGGGAAAAGACGTGAAAGGAAGAAAAAGAAAACCAACATTTATTGAGTACCTACTATGTGCCAGAGGGGCAATGGTGGTTCAATGGTAGAATTCTCACCTTCCACGCAGGAAACCCAAGTTCAGTTCCTGGCCAATGCACCTCATGCACTGTTACCTACCATCCATCTGTAAGTAGAGGTTTGCCTGTGTTGTGACACTGGTTTCAGTGGAGCTTCCAGATTTAAGATGGACCAAAAAGTCGGCATTTTGAATCCACCAGCCACTCCTTGGAAACCCTGTGGGGCAGCTCTACTCTGTCTTATAGGGTCACTATGAGTCGAAATCAATTTGACGGCAACATTTTTTTTGGAGGGCTGGGGATTAGGAAGAAAGGCTGGTGATCTACTTGAGAAAATTAACCGGTGAAAACTTTATGGATCACAGCTGTTCACTCCGCAACCGATCATAAGTTTGGTACACTGTTTGGTTCCCTTGTGCATGCGGTCACCAGGAGTTGGGGGACAACTCCATGGCAGCTTTTCTTGCCTCTGCAGGAAAAAAGGCCAAGTTGTCTAACATACAGTTTCAGGGGTTAAACAGCTGCAAGGAAATTACGTTATTCTCTCGCCAAGAGTATGGGCGAGTACAGGAAAAGATAGTACAACTACAAAAAATACGGGTGGTGGTGGTGGTGATGGTGGAGAAAGTGGAGAGCTTATGTAAAATTTTAAAACTATTTTTATTAACCGTAATTGGTGGTGGTGGTATTAGTATTGTCATGCTGAGACTGTTATGTGTGTAATGTGAGATGAAGCAAAAGATTGATTATAGAATATTCTAATCTATTCAATTCTAATTTTATTCTATTTTATTTATGTCACTGCAATTCATATATACATAATATTCTAATATACATATATATGGTATTGTAGTTATTGTGTGCCATCAAGTTGACTCCAACTCATAGTACTCCTCTGTAACAGCGTAGAACTGCCCCATAGAGTTTCCTAGTCTGAGGGAGCCTTTTATTGCATTAAAGTAAGACTAAATAGAACCGTATGCACCTGTTCTGACTTATCTATGAATTCTTAAAGATACATTTAGGAACAGATCTTGCTTGTAAACCAAGGACTGCTTCTGTGTGTGAGTATGTGTGTGTGGATACCAAAAAAAAAACCAAAAAAACCTGTTGCTATCGAGTCGATTCTGACTCATAGAAACCCTATAGGACAGCGTAGAACTGCCCCATAGGGTTTCTAAGTAGCAGCTGGTGGATTCAAACTGCCAGTCTTTTGATTAGCAGCCT